GTATATTTTCACACTAGTACGAGTATATTTTACAGTCTCTTTCTATCCGTCGATAATCAATAGTGATCATCATTTATACGAATTTTATTTTTTTTTTTTTTGCTTGTCTAACATACAAGATTTGAAAAGAAACGAAATCTAAAAAGACGAGAGAGCGGAAACAGTGACGCAATAATCCCGGTAACGGCGTAAAAGAGTGCGTATCGCGCCGTACTTTTCTCGTGACAAGATAACGACTGTATAAGATTCTTTCTCACCCGACTTCGTGTAAACCTTCGACTCTTTTCCTTCCTTTGATCGACGTTTCGCGAAGTAACACCGGGCGCGCTTGAAGTGCAACAAGAAGAAGAAATCGTCAAGTAGTAGTTCCAGGACGAAGTAAGACCGAGTTGGATTTAGTAGACGGAAGGAAGGAAGGATAAGGCGGTGAAGGGGTGAGAAAGGGAAACGCGGTTCGCCGGGAGAAAGTTTGCCCTCCGCTCCTGCCACCCTCTCTCCACGCGAGAGCCAATTTCTTAGCGTAACCTTATCACACCGCTCTCGTAAGATGGGTGCGACAGCGCCGCGTACTTGATAGAGATCCTCGGCTGCTGCACGAGCACAGCACGTACCGAGAGCGTACACGGGATGGAGAAAAGATGCGCCAACTGCGTTTCAAGTTTCCGCGGAAAACAACGTGATGCTAAAAGCGGTAACGGCAATAAAGGCAGCATCGGAAAAACTCTTGTTGCCATTGACCTTCGGCCAAGTTTCGTTTACGTTCTTTCGCATTCTCGCGACCTCCTTTTGCATACTTCTTTATGCAACCCTCAATCTTTAGATTATAGTCTTACGTTGTAGTCGTCTAGTATATACACGGGGGGTTGTCAGAGATATAATTAAATAATCCGTAATCTGACAAAGAGATATTTCAAAACGCTGTATCGCCCACTAATTTGCATGTTTGTAATATCGTAAAATTGTGCGATTAAATGGCTAAATAGATAAATTATCCCTCTTTGCGAGAAGGATATACAGCTAAAAAGTATAGCTACGATGAAATCGATGAGACGAATTAATAAGATTGCAAGCGCAAGTAGGTACGATAAACAACTACTCCATCAATAACCGATACGCGGCACGACCGATTAAAAGACCTGCGCTCTTTCAAGAATATATACGTGCATGTAGAGCCCGTTTTTCGCCCGGGCACGGCCGTTACGTAATCGATTGGCGGGGCAACTCTTCGACGAGCCGTACAACGTCGGTCCGTCACCACTCGAGTTTACACAGAGGCGTCATTCAGTTACTACGGCAAATCGTAGGGTGGCCAAAACGCAGTTGTCGCGTATCGTTTCACCGGTTATATTCTCGAGAGATAGGACAATGGCGTTTCGGTGGCCTTTTAGCGAATGAAAGCTAACACGGTCCTCACCTCCGTCCCTATAGACCGCGAAGGTTTCAGTTTCGAATCGCATCGACCCACCGCGATAGACCGGGTTTACAGGACAGTGGTTCTCAAACGCGGGCGATGTATTTGAGACTATATTATAGAGATGAACGTATTTCTTTGTCACGGTAGATATAAAATATTTCAAAAATAATTATATTTTTTTTTAATTCACGCGTATTCTACCATGTATTTTATCATATATTACTATTTCCAACTAATTTACCAAAAGCTAAATTCTAGAGAATGAGATTTATTTTAATATCAAGTTAACAATAATTCGTGAAATCGAAAAATCACGCAGCAATTCTGTAAATAAACTTGCAAATATTTTTTTAGAAAATGCAATAAATTACTCATAAAAAACAGAAAGATCAGCTATTCCTGCGTTATCATATTTATGCATATATGTACATATACATATAACTATGTAGTTTATATGTAATAGACGTAACTACATGCAGCTGTCTGTTTGCACAGAACTTTGCATTACATGTAATATGTAATGTATTTCCCCTGACGTGCAGTCTGTTGCACGTACGTATATGCATTTTCAATATGCTAACGAATATGTAGAGTCCGCGAAATAGCTATTAAATACATTTGAACAAATTAATTGCTCTAATGATCATTATCGAGTGAGTATGATGAGAAAATTTGGTATTAATTTAGTGTTAATTCTTGAGCTAATATACTGAGCGTTTCGCGTAGGGACGTCCCTCAAAGAGAAAAATTGTTTAAAAATGATTCTTTGAGAATATAATTAAATATAAATATATTAACTTATATACACATACATATTAAAATGCTTACTTCAAAAAAAGAAAAGAAGATTTTTCAAGAAATTGTTTTTTAGTTATTATAAAGTCATGTATTTTCCACGAATTTCCAACGGACTTTATTTTAATTAAATTTTTATTATTAGTTGTAAATGCAATAATGAACATGATTATTGAACAGGATGCAAGCTGCAACAGGATGCAATTTCGATATTAATATTGACCGAGTACACATGTACAAACGTATATGTAGCAAACATGTACCACATTATAAATTATATAATCAATCATCATGTAGTAGGTAGCCAATTTCGAATTTTATATCGCTATATGGAGCTATCTTACAGACATCAGCAGAGGTCTGTGCATGAATGACTTTATGCGAATATGAGAAAAACGTGAATAATATACATACAAGAGCTAATATAGAGTATACATATACCTGTCCAATTTTATCGAGGTCGAGTGTCGGATATAATACTATAAGATTCTACTGATATATTTCCAAATTTCCATCAGAAACAGAAGAATATTGTTCTTGTTTTATTAGCATACTTTTTCAATCGTTTTCCAATAAACTTCTCTTTCAAGATATTAATAAATATTTTAAATGTCGAAAACGTTGAAAAATAACCGTCTAATGAATGAAGCTGCAAGAATGTAATTAAAGATTGAAAATTGACCTTTTATAACGATAAACTTTATTTTATACATATAATTGCTGCTTTTATAATTGAAATTTAATTTGAGAATTAATTATACGGAGACGAATCGGAAAATTAAGAAGCCCGCTAAAAGAGGAATCAATTAAAATTCAATGTGATTTGAACGATCAATTAGATACTTTTTTATTGTGTCTGCACATACATTCCATATGGTAACAGAAGATTCTGATTATGCGCGATATATATGAGCATTTGAAACTCTGAATTGATCAAAGAGCGCGAGATAGCGAAAGAGATGACGTATCGCGTAGGCGGCGTCGCCGGATCTCGCTAATGAGAGTAGCCAACGTTAACGAGAGCAGACACGGTAACGAGAATAGGCTCGGTAACAAGAGTAACCGCGATAATGAGAATAGTCTGAATTGAGAAGAGGCCTCGGAGAGTAAATTAAAGAGGGAGAGACGAACAGACGTATTGGAATGTAAATAATCGCGAAGCGCGCGATCGGATATCCCCAAGTTTGATGGGCGATTTCGCGTTTGAAAAACGATGCTTAGAAGAGATTGCGACTGCTCGGGATTACTTTGCTAGTGACTATAAAAAATAAAACGAGGAGATGAGCTCGAAAATGTCAGATAGACTGTATCAATATCTGCGTACATCATCGAAAATTTTCCAGCATGTTATGCGTTTACTCGAAAGCTTGTTTGCGTATCGTGCAAATAATATGCGTGTGCGTACAAATCGCGTGTTTGCTTACGGAAGGAAAAAAGGTAGAAAGAGAAGCGAATTTAGGGATAATTCTGAGTCGACTATTTTGATATCTCGTCGCCTGAATTTTGCTTATGTTCATTCATCCTATTATTATTATTATTATATTAATTTATAGATCAATCATTTGTTTAAATCTATCCATATGAAAATCTAATTATTTATACTCAATTATATTATTTTTAATTATAATTAGAGGTTTATTAATCATTTTTCTTTCTTTTTAAATTTCAAAGAAAATTTCAAAGAAATTACCGTTTTTCAAAAATTTAAATATACATAATCACGAGAGATTTTAATTAACGTTATAAATCTCATCATAAAATATTTTACAAGTTGATTTTTTCGAATTCTACAGTCTAGTAGAGTATATATACGATAATATAATACAGAGTATTATATAGCACGGAGTAAAACTAATATTCAAAAATTTTCATTGTATTCAGTTACTGAAATCTCGTTGTCCTCATATTTCATCGCGAGATTTATGGCCGTTCTCTCACAATCGAATCTCGCGAACGATGACGAGATTACAATTATTCGCGCCACGAATAACGGGATGAATTAAACGTCGTTAAGAGGCGCAAAAAAAAAATATATATCTTTGAAAACCGTTTACGTGACGCGACGTGATGCGTTGCATTGCGTTGCGGGACGCGAAACACGCGTGTTATCGTGATCGTTTTGGCGACGATAACGCGATTTCACGGTATGCGAAGGCCACCATGCGCGTTTCATGTTGTAATTGAGCCGTGCCGCCGGTCGTTTTAAAAGGCATCACTCGACACCACCCGCATTCCCGTCGGGTTATTCTTCGAAATAACACGTCTCTAAACGTCGCGTGTCAAGCTATCTAAAATCTACGATTTCACCAGGAAATCCATCTCTTCGTACAAAAGTATGAGAATATATTGGCGAATTTTGTACAAAGTGCGCACATTTCTTTTTCTTTTTATCGATTAAATAAAAGCGTGTGTTCATCCCTTACTTTCGATACAAATCGAATTCTAAATTAAATATATTATATATAAAATATAATAATATGTTAGTTTTGGAAAAAAGCGAATAATTTATAGCAATGGGTGAATTTGCGCAGATATTCCGTGATTCGAAATGCGACATATTGTAATTGTGTTTAATACTGGTATTAAACAAAAAGCGCTATGAATTTTGTCAGAAATACCATGAGAAATTGACGTGGATCTTGCTGTCTATTTGGAAAATCAATATTACCGTAGTAGCGTACGTTTGTACAAAGTGCCATATATGCTGTGTTTCAAACGGATGAGAGGCTTTCCCCGATTTAGATTGGCGTACCATTAATGCTACATGTATATTATGTCAGAAAATACTTACCCTCGATAATGGGTTGACGCGGCTTGTAGGACATGTCTGAAAAGAAAGAAAAGGGGGTTAATATTAGTAAGATTAGTTACAATATATATGTACACGCAGTTAATTACTTAGTAAAAGCGGCTTTCCCCTTTTTTGTACCATCACCGTAATTACGACATGAAAATTTCATGTCGCGATTTTAGTATTATAACATTTAAAACGCATCCCGCATTAGCTACCGCGTTATGTTTAAATCAATTTTATAATTCTAATCTCTACAAAATCTACTTGTAATTAATCGAAAATAAAGGCAGAGTTCCGTTACTTTTTTAATCGATCAAAATTCTTAATTGCACATGTTGTATCTATAATTAAACGCCCTGCTCTTTGCACAATTGCAACTTCACTAACCTATTATTAAAAAATAATACGATAGTCGTAAGGCATTCTGCACGTTCTGAAGCAATTCAAACGTGAGCCGGTGAAAATGATATATACATATATACATACGTGTATATTGCTGGTAAAATAATTTTATAAAATAATGTTTACGTAACGCGATTCTTGTCACAAAGCTGGCAGAAAGCTTCTACCTTAGCCGTTTAAAATGCAAACTAATTACAATGACACAATTAGCATTGCGCACAAGCTGCGAAAGAGACTGCCGTCCTACGTGGAATTAAGTAATTTATATTAGCGCTTACGTCGCGATAAGATTTATTGTGTTTAACTGATGCAACTTAATTAAGAATTTTAATTTAATTAAAGTTCACCTTAATTAGTGCCCATTCTTACTGGTCGTCCGGAACGTGGCTCTTGTCGCGTAACGAGTCTCGCGAGACGAAATATAAATGTACGAAGTATCTATGCAGTTTAAAGAAAGCACAAACGCGATACCAATTTCTTAAAAATATAAGCGTTTGACGGAGAAATATGGCATAATATCGTTGTTTATATATCCTATGCATGTATATATATGTATTGACAAATAGATAAATAGAGTTTGGCGCTACATGTCTAAATTGCATTTTTTTCTATTTTATTCTGTTTTTTAATTACATTTAAATCACTTTTCATTTTTCACATTTTATTTTGTCAAATTAAATCAAATAATCTTTTTTTTTATATACAATAGATAAAAAGAGAACGACATAATTAAAACGAATGACAGGGAAATTCAGATACCCTGCTGCGTTTCATCCGCTCCGAAGCTCTTCGTGAAACTTTTAATTATCCTTTTCAGAGAACCCTTAAAAAAACTCCCTTTTAAAGAGGTTCCATGCGATTCTATATGACGTCGAAAACAATTACAAATTTTCATATGAATTTCGATGAAATGGAAAATAGACTGTCAAACGGTGAACGTTTATCATCGCGAGATCAGTGAGGTATTGCTTACATGTCGTCGCGAAATGGAAGAAGGTAACTGAGAAAAATTTCTCGAAGCGAAATATGAATATTCTCAACTTTCATTATTGTCGCTCTAAACAAAATTCCGCAATTTCAAATAACATGAGGGCAATATTAGATAAATTAAAATAAAATTTAAATCAATTTAATAAATTTTAACAGAATAAATCGGCGAGAAAGTAATCGAGACACATCGGACCGTCTATGAAGAATATTGCAAACAACAAGAAAAGAAATATTCTCTCGCAAACCAATTTATATATGCAACGTATTGATATGCGCGTCGCGAATAGCAATGTGTTAAGGGCACGAGTCGGGCGTCTCATAAATTTCCAAATTGGACTTTCGGAAGAAAGTGAGTGCATCGTCCACCGCATCGTCCAGGATATCGCTCAAGAGATTGCATACATTCCTATATATATATATGTGTGTGTGTATGTGCCGTTGGAGCCACGCTGGAATCGGTGCTGCCAAACCATCGATATGTATGCAGGTCGACTCTATGAGAATTTGTATACGTCGATATCTCGCCGATATTCTCCCTTTCCGAGATTCGACGCCGCAGAGTTTGACGCACACGGGAAACACATGTCGCCGCTCGCATAGGATAACGCACAAGGCGATTGAGACCCTTGAGATGCAAATATCCGTACGTGAGTGCGTGCACGCATACATATATATGTAAGAACCGTCACGTGCAATTTGCATAAAAGCTTGGAGCATAAGAGCTTGGCGCATAAGAGCCTTGACTCTCCGATGAAACCTCTAAGATACCCATTCCGTAAACTGAAATTTTTATTCTACTGAATAATTGATGGTACGTGATATTTTTGCGTTTATTATCTGTCATGAAATATTACACACATATCGCCATTTCTATATTAATTATAAACACCGGGTACATTTACATGTTCCGTTATTTATCTCGAGCAAGATTTACTTAACTATGGGCCACAAAATACTTAAATATATTATCGTTACAATTATGATTATACTCATATTATGTATATTTTTTTAATTTATATCACGTATTTGCATGCGTCTTTTACATTTTAATGGATTTAGTACTCCCAGTCGCGTGACATTCGAGAGTTTCTCCGTGCAAGATAGATATATCAATGGGACACCGAAGTCCTGCCGGATATCGACTCGGTAGCGGATAACCATCGAGACAAGAGGAAACAAACATGGTTGAATGAATCGGTGCTGCCAAACCATCGATATGTATGCAGGTCGACTCTATGAGAATTTGTATACGTCGATATCTCGCCGATATTCTCCCTTTCCGAGATTCGACGCCGCAGAGTTTGACGCACACGGGAAACACATGTCGCCGCTCGCATAGGATAACGCACAAGGCGATTGAGACCCTTGAGATGCAAATATCCGTACGTGAGTGCGTGCACGCATACATATATATGTAAGAACCGTCACGTGCAATTTGCATAAAAGCTTGGAGCATAAGAGCTTGGCGCATAAGAGCCTTGACTCTCCGATGAAACCTCTAAGATACCCATTCCGTAAACTGAAATTTTTATTCTACTGAATAATTGATGGTACGTGATATTTTTGCGTTTATTATCTGTCATGAAATATTACACACATATCGCCATTTCTATATTAATTATAAACACCGGGTACATTTACATGTTCCGTTATTTATCTCGAGCAAGATTTACTTAACTATGGGCCACAAAATACTTAAATATATTATCGTTACAATTATGATTATACTCATATTATGTATATTTTTTTAATTTATATCACGTATTTGCATGCGTCTTTTACATTTTAATGGATTTAGTACTCCCAGTCGCATGACATTCGAGAGTTTCTCCGTGCAAGATAGATATATCGATGGGACACCGAAGTCCTGCCGGATATCGACTCGGTAGCGGATAACCATCGAGACAAGAGGAAACAAACATGGTTGAATAAACCTGTTAAATGGCCAAGTTACGCGGATTTGCGCGCTCGGAAACTTTGTACAAACGGAAGGCGCATCGTGTCCGGAAGATTGTATAGGTCGATTTTATGCGCACTCTCGACGAAATGCGCATTGTTCTCGGGAAAACGGTGTGAAATCGGATAACGATGAGAGAGCTAGAGAGAGAATATAGTTGAACGCAGTAGAATATATTATGAAAAAAAAAAAAACGATATTACATAATACGCGCATCATGCACGAGCGAATTAAAGAATCGTGCTTTTATCAAATATATGCATTAAAAGGCATACTTTCTTAATCGCGCATTTAAATTTCAAGCGATAACTTGGCTTTAGATTAGAGCAGCTATTATAGGGTAGAAGGTGAAACACAGAAAAGGAAATATTTACAACGCAAAAACGACGAAAACGATGTACTTAACGTGCGCGATAAATTCACGATAAATAGCAGCGTTGTACGCGGTTAAATTTAAACGTGCATAAATACTCGATGTGCACGCATAACTTCATGAATTTTAGAACGATCGAACGGGTTTTTGCAGGGTGCAGCGCCCGTAATTCGTGCGCTTACAACGCGCACTTTATCGCGATTCATAAGCATAATACGTCTCGTATTACGTCGGGGCTATTTCCCGCGACGGATTTTACGCGTCGCGCACGCAGACGCTATTCTTCATTCGCCCTTTTTGCATTCGACAGCGAGGCGCGCGCGAGAGAGGGTCGTGAGTTCTCACCGGAAATGGCGGTGAAGTACCCTCGACCTTCTGTTTCCTCATCCGGGAACGAAACGCGCGCACATGGAACACTGTATATCTGAGTAGATGAAGTCTCACTACTGTAACGCGTACCAGAGAGAATATTACATGGAATAAGAACTCTAATAAACTAGAAACGAAGCGTGAAATTGTATCCGCTTGCTTTACCATTTTTTGTGGAAAAAAAAAGATGAGAATATATAACAATTTTGATAATGGCGACATGCAGTTAGATGAGTAAATTGAATCCATAAAACGGGGATACGATTGTATCATCAAGATTAATTAAGCATTATTAATCGAGAAAAAACTTGCACTTATTAAAACATTTAAGCGTCATATATTGCAATATACTGTACGATAGTTGTTCCCTTTCTCGTAGGGCATTTGCATGTGTGTGTATATTCCGGAGAAAATCGATAAGCGGCCGCTACGAAAAGATGTATCAGACACACATGCCCGTCTTATCTACGATATACGACGATAAACAATACACGGGAATTGTTTATCTTTCTCCCTTTTTCTCTCTCTCTCTCTCTTTTTTTCTCTCTTTAGGAACACTTTTGTGATAAGGACACGTCGTATTTTTTGTAAGTGCACTTTATTTTGCGTAAACAAGAGTATCTCTTTATATCGCGCGTACCAGTAAAATGCATGCCGCTCCATAAAAATTGTAGAGCGTCGCGCGACGTAAATGTAAATTGCATTTCACGTATACGGGCAAAAATATTTTCGTTTATTCACATGACATTTACGGGTATCGCGATGTGGATTTTCGTATTTAAATTTGCTTTAGTGTGTTTGGTTTATTAATATTTTTTTTTCTTTTTCCTAACATTTATCAAATTTTTACATTCTTTTTGACAGAGGATTGCTAAACGTGTATGCTGTAGGACTGTAGGTATTTAATCGCAAACATTTGTAGAACTAGTTCCCAGAAATTTG